TTTTTTTTTTTTTACCTATTACGTGTCTTTCAGAACAATACAACAAAATTTTTATTGTGATTCCTGTTTGCAAAATCTGATTTATGATTTATTCTAATTTCTGGATTCTAAAATATAGTCACTGAAATTTAGCGTGTTGTCAGTAAGTTTTGAGTTTCCTAAATAGAAACTTGCTTTGTCTTGATGAAAAAAAATTCTAGTTATTTCCATCTAGGTGCATATTTATTTATTTGTTTATTTATTTAGAGTAGAAATTTACTGGGGAAAGGAATGGGGACTAAGAATAGCTCCTGAGAGACAGCAGCAGTCCCAGATGAGTTGCCAAAAAGCTCACTTCTCTTGAGAAAGTTTTGTAGAGCAAAGTCATGAGCCAGTAGTAACAAGGACACATAGATGGCATCATTAACCCTAGCCAGTAATCTGTAGTCCTAGTCCTAGTTCTAGCAGTCTTGGTCTTTTTTAGCCTTAGTCACAGTCATAGAGGATGGGAGATGGCCCACCCCTAGTGGAATCATGTTTTATTCTGAAGGGAAATCTCAGAAGGGTGGTACCAATAATCTGGTCATTGTGATATTGATCTTCTGATGATACCTCCAGTTTTTGGTTTTTTTAAAATCTATCCAACTGATTTTATACCTCCAGTTTTGATGTATTCTCATCTTCTACACTGGCTTCCTCCCAGGGCTAAACATTTGGATATTTTTGCCAGTCTGATACAGAATTTTTATTCATTTGGTGTGGTGGTGGTGGGGTTGTTGTTGTTGGTTTCTTTTTTTGTTGTTTTGTTTTTAAGGCAGGGTCTTAATATGTAGTATAAGCTGGCCTTGAACTCACTTACATAGCCCAGACTGGCCTCAAACAGCAATCCTCTTGCCTCAGCCTCCTGAGTGCTGGGATTACAGGTGTGTACCACCATACCCATTGTTTCCCCCTCTGAAGAGATATCCCTAACTTCTGTTAGGGGAGAAGAGGCATAGTTTCCATTTGGCTGCTTTGAGAGGAAGGGTCTGTGTAGGGGAAACAAAACCAGTCAAGGGCCTTCTCCAGAGAGCTAATCTACAAGGCTCTGGCTAGAAGTCGTGCTGCAGTTTTAACACCTCTAGGTTCCTTCTTGTTTTTTTGTTTTTTGGCAGAACTGGGGGTTGAATTCAGACCCTTGTGCTTGCCAGGCAAGTGCTTATCCTACTAAGCCATCTCCCTGGCCCCTAGGTTCATTCCTAAAAGCTTTCTCTATTTCAGTGAAAATTTACTGAATTTTCTTTTATTTGATTTTGCTGAATAGAAATGACACTGCTCTTTTCTGAAGTGGACTGGTTGTACTACATTTTTTGTGTTTTCTATTTAAATGTAAATCTCAAATAGACTAGATTCCACCCCTTAAAATTCACTTATTTTCAGATTTAAGGTTCCCTTTAGCAATACCTTTTTAAATTCTGCTACCTAAAATCCTAAGTGCAAATGTGCTCTTATCTATCCTGGGTGTATTTGGCTGGCACTTGGCAGCAGTTTCTCTCCCTCCCTTCCTCCTTCCCTTCTCCCTCTTTCCTTTCCTCTTTCCCTTATTGTTTGTTTTGTTTTGTTTTTGTTTGTTTTTTGCTTTGCCCATAGCAAAATGTGGAAGATACTTCCAGTTTCCCAATGGAAAGTATTTCCTCCAATTCCATTCTGGAGACACAGCGCCATACTTAATGGTAGGAGAAATCTGTCCCAAATTTATGTTTTCTATAATAGATCATTGACTTCAGTGATTTGGATTCAGTATTTACGGAGCACGTATTTTGTGCTCTGTCCCAGTTCAAGGTTCTGAGCTTATAGTAGTAAATTAGCCACTGTCCATGTCCTTGTGCTCCCAAATATTCTTCCAAAACCTTGCATGATTAATTCTTCATATGATGTCCAGTTTGTGTGGTCTGGAGTCTGCCTGAATACCATAAAATTGTTCTTTCCTTTTTCCACAAAGATTATATAGAGAATTTTTTTCTAGCATAAATCTGAGTCACTGTTTGATTTGTTTCATCTTGCTTTGATTAGAGCTAATATTCTAACTAAAACATCACTTTTAGTTCTATTCTCTCTTCTTCCATTACCAAAAC